TCTTCTTTGAACATTGTGTCTGTAGAGTATGAAAAGGTTCAAGCTTGGCAGAATGAAAGCCAAAGAGTAAAACACAGATATGCGTCACATTAGGTAGGATTCTCTTCTATGAACACTGTGCTGTTTGTATTTCAGATAAGAGAGCAGAATCGTCAGGACATGAAAACAGCCGGACCTCAGTCTCAGGTGTTAGCCAGCGTCATCACAGAAAACAGTCCACCGGTAAGATCACAGAATGCCATTTAGTTCATATATACGCATGTTTACACTGCGAAAAGAATATTCTTTATCATGTATCAGATGTTTATTGTGTCAGGTTTGTTTTTCTTATCCCATTGGCAAATACTTTTTCTAGTTTAAGCATAAATCTAACAAATTTAGTAATGTTTTTTTATTTACTTTTGTGAATGTGTAGATTATTTAACTTTTTTTTACTAATAAAGACAAATATTTTTTACAATATGAACTTAGAAATTACATAATGTTCGAGGCAGTTCTAATTTATAAAATAAGATCTTTTAAAAAAAATACCATGTACGTATCTGTAGTGAGCACTTTTCATTGATCAAAATCCATTTCTAAATGATTTTGCTTGTGCGCATGTGTTGATTATGTGAACATGATCGTTGGGCTTCCAGTCTCCCGAGGCTGTGGAGCCTCCAGCCACACTGGAACCAGAGACTCCAAATCCCTTCAATGAGCTGACGGATCAGGAGCTGGAGGAGTACCGCAAGGAGGTGCAGCGCAAACAACACGGCCAGCAGGACGGTACGAGATGACGAGATGTAGTTTAGTCCCTCATTCTCTTTTTGTAACCCATTGATTTCTAGCCTAAGTATTGATGTTTTATTGATTTTCCCACTGGACTAAAGAAGAGAATTCAATAAACACCCACTGTCTTCCAGTACACATCCTTAGACAAATACTGAGTTGATGTCACTTTGCTACTGAATACCAGAGTTTTACTTTTTATTTCTATTATCTACTCTTAAAAATTAACGTTTGGAAAAATATATATTTTAATTCAGGAAATACAGAATGCATGTATTTAATACTTTGAAGTGTGCCTTGAAAATAAATTAATTAAAGTTGAATAGAATTTAGCATCTTTCCAGAAATCACTAACTTGAGGTTTTGTGTCCTGACATCATTTCTTCATGGTTCAGCACCTGAGCACTGATCTTTCTCCACTGTGTCCTGACAACCTTCCTACACACACTAAAATCCAAAAACCCCTTTACAGTTACTACCAATGTTGGGGAAGTTACTCGCCAAGCTACAAACTATAATGATTTAAAGTAGTTAAACTATAGTTAAGATGGATAGGCAGGGTACAACAGTAAGTAAAAGCTACATTTCTTTTCAAATGTTTGTGGTCAGTAAGATTTTTTTTAAATGTTTTTGAAAGAACGGTCTTATGTTCTTGCGCATTTATTTGATGGAAAAAATATATAGTAAAATCAGTGATATTGTGAAATATTATTCCAATTTAAAATAACTGTTTTCTATTTTAATATATTTTAAAATATAATTTATTTCTGTGATGACAGCTGAATTTTTAGCATCATTGCTCCAGTCTTCAGTGTCACATGATCCTTCAGAAATCTTATTCTAATTCAATCTAATTCTAATATGCTGATTTGCTGCTCAAGAAACATTTCTTATTATCAATGTTGAAAACAGTTGTTCTGCTTAATGTTTTTGTGGAAACCTGGATACATTTTAACATCAGGGTTCACCGATAAAAACAAAGTTCAGAAGAACTTTCAAAAGAAAATCTTTTGTAACATTATAAATGTCATTACCTTTACTTTGGATAAATTGAATGTGCCCTTGTTGAGTAAAAGTCTTAACTAAAGCAAAAAAAATCTTGCTGACTCCAAACTTTTGAATGATATTGTATGTTCTTTTCTGGCATTATTTTTGTGGTACAGAAACAATGATTATCTCAATTTGTGTATTAAGCACTGTGATAAACAGCAGCATTTACCTAAATATACATTATTATTGTATTTAAATGAAATGCAGGGACTTTTGTGAACACTAAGTGACAACTTGAATGGAAAATTTTACTGAAATCAGCTGAGCTACTGTCACTCTGCTAAAAAAATGTTATTTATTTAGCAGTGCTATTTTTAGTAAATTACTCCCCAACAATGGTTATTACTCACTGTACACCTCCACCTTATTTCCCTCTATTTCTGTTTCCTCTCCTCTTCTTCCCCCTATCCTGATGTTGTGTAAAAGGTGTGGAGGAGGTGGTGAATGACACGGGGACTTCCCCAACTACCTTCCCCAAAAAGACCCCACCGTCAGGTGAGACCCGGTGGTGCTTTATTCACACGTGTGCATGTGAACATGACACTGCAGAAACACCTGCTATGGTCCCACATGCTGATCTGTGCATTGCATCATCAACTTCTGGTTGACAACCCCTGTTACTAAATGGAACATAAAAAAAAATAGTGATTGATTGTTTGTTTTATCCATAATATGGGCTCAAGTATATCAATGCTAATTGCTTTTATAATCTGGTATCAGTAAATATAAAGGCATTAAAGAAAGAGGTCACCCAAAAATTACTGTTCTGTCATGTCGTTTCAAATGCATATATTAAAATGACATGATTTGGAGAAATTTAGCATTACATCACTTGCTCATCAATGGATCCTCTGCAGTGAATGGGTGCCGTCAGAATGAGAGCCCAAACAGCTGATAAAAACATTACAATAATCCACATGTAATCCACACAACTCCAGTCCATCATCTGATGTCTTGTGTAGTGAAAAGCTGCATGTTTGCAAGAAAAAAAAATCAAGCAAGACCTTTTTAACTTCAACTAGGCATTTTAGCTAGAAGCAATGGTTTGAAGTTAAAAATATCTTATTGATGTTGTCATTCACTGCAGAGGATCCATTGGTGAGCAAGTGATGTAAAGCTAAATTACTCCAAATGTGTTCGGATGAAGAAGTGTACTCATTTACATATTTGTCGACCTGAGGGTGAGTAAATTCTCAGCAAATTTTCATTTTTGGGTGAACTATCCTTTAAAAGCTTCAGCCCACGGTTACAATTTGAATTGTAATTGTATGGAAAAGAGCGCCCATTACATTATTCAAAATATAATCCTTTTGTATTCAGAATTCATATGGATTTTTGAAACAGCAAGAGGATGACTAAATGATGACAGATTTTTCATTTTTGGTTGAACTATTCCTTTAATATGAGATCTCTCTCAAATTATTCTAAGAAGGTTTCGGAATCTATCATTTTATTTCATTTTAAATTGTTCAGTCATTTTTTAATGGCAGTTGGGTGATGTACGGTAACATGGGATGTCTGTATTAAAGTCTGTGTCCGTGTTTTCATTTCAGTTTTCATGTTTTTGTTTTTATGTGACATTTTCAGCTCTGTACTATGGCCTCCATCTGTCTTCACACCTTTGTGCTTCTCTGTCTGTCTCTGTCCCTGTATTATAATTTGTAGGACAATCGTTTGGTACTGAAATCTTGTCTCACTAGTGAGTATATAGAAACTAAGACATTGCACACAACTTGAATGAGCATGGTGGCCAAAACTGTAATGTCATAGCAGCTGCTTCTGTTCCATCCCTAACCATCTTTACAAATGCTTAACCGCTTTTTCTTTTCTTTTCTCTTTTCATTATTTCTACTGTACTATTTCTTTTCCGTTTTCATTTCAATTGCATTTATAAACAGATGGAAAAATCATAGATGCTGTGCAAAACGATAAAGGCGACGAAAAGAAACAGCAGGAGGAGCTAGAAAAACAAATGAAGGCCCTGTCCACCACTGACACTTCGGAAACCACGCCCTCGGCCCCACCCACTGCCCCGCCCAACAAGCCTGCAGGCAACACCCCAGAGGGCTCACCTTCCAAATCGCCATTAAAGAAAAAAAAGAAGTTCAAGGCGCCCTGTTTTCTAAAGAAAAGCAAGAAACAAAAAGAGAAAGCAGAATCTTGAACTCTTACAGGCACTTTCTCCAAGTGTTCTTTACTAATACTTTCACATGCATCCACACATACATCTTCACATCCAGTCAGACTCACTGTGTATCCATGTACTGACCTTTACATGCCATACCAGTTTTTGATTATGGTTTCGTGACTTGAAACATGTTTTCGGTACACTCTGTCCACACCGATGCAAATTTCACAATGCTTCACTGATGCACATTAAAATGTGACCCTTCCCCTTGATTTAAAATGAATTGCACTTAGTACATGTATAGAAAAAAAAGAATGTGGCATTGAGTAAGCATTGATTGTTCATGTCTATTGATTCTGATTGTTGCTCATGTTTATATAATTACATGTGGCATAACTGTTCTAAAATGTTTTTTTAACTACCATAAACATCTACATCTAATTTTGTTATGAATAGCAGGGATAAACTAATTGAATATGCACCATTCACTGGAAATCATGATTGCAATGGCTTGCAAATAATACACGTCAAAAGGCCAAAATAAGCAAGATCATGGCTTGTTGCTGCAAAGAAAATCCAACTTTAAATGCATGGCTTTGATCCACTTGGTTTTTTTTTTTGTATCTTTATTTTATATGTATGCTGGAAACTTCTTTGCAGTTGTAATTACTTTTATGATCATTCACTGTTATTTAAATGCTTTTTGTGTATATTAGCTGGTTTGTAAACTTAATTCCATGTCAATATTAGAATGTAAAATGCTAGGATCGGATGTACCATTCATTAAAGATCACATCCATGCAAAGTTGTTGTAGTCTGTTTCTTTGGGGTGGATTTCAAAACAATAGCCTACTTGTGACTGAAAATAAAAGATGACTATTTCACGGATTTAGCCAATTAACTTGAAAAACGTTGTACAACTTTATTCGAGTACAAATATGTTGCAAGCAGTTCGTATTTGCTGTTAACGTATCTCAGAAGCATTTAACTCGACACCGATGTGTAACGATTAATATCGCTATATTCAGTAAGCGGATCGTAATGTTTGGTAGGGTAGGAACTATTTGTCGCGGAACGCTTGAAGGGTTTGTTGTTCCGGGCTGCTTTTTGAGGCGCACAGTTGATGGCGACCATCTAGCAATTTCTAGTTAACTAGCAGTTTGTGAACGCGCTGTTTTAAAGAAAATAGTCTGCTTTATATTGATCAAGTCATGGGAAGAAGCAGGAGCCGAACACCGCCACGACGAGGTTTGAGTTCAATTATTGTTTTAAATATTTGGATTGTAACGTGTGACTGGATAGTTCTGTTGTTAGCATCACACCTGGCGCACATTCATCACAAATCGGATCAGCTGAATTGTTTTGCTTTTCAAACTCTTTCTACGATTTGAAATTTTCTACACTCCAGTGTAATACAGATAAATATATTTTTTAATTAAAGCATTTCATTATCTGCCGAAATACATCTTTCATATTGACTGTTTTTGTTGATTATTTATTAACCTCTTGTTATTGCTAAGTAGGCCTGTAAAAGACGACGTTTGTTATTAAATGTGTCACAAATGGTGCAAGGGTTGTAACATCAGTGACAAATTCTCATAAAAGATTGTCTAAATATGTTGTCAAACATTATTGGTCACACTAAAATTAGCATTACAATTTTTTTTAAATGGGGGGGGGGGTCTCAAACACTATCACATTAAAATGAATGGCATTAAAATTATTTTTATACAAAAAATATAATCTCTAACACGTTATTGATCACAGTAAAAGCAATAGATTATAATAAAATATGAAAAAATTAAAATGATCTCAAACACGTTACTGATTACACTAAAGAATGAATAGATCACAACATTAAATACATTTTTTAAAGTAAAAAAAATCTGTAACTTTAAAGAAAATGAATATAATCTAAACATTTGATCACACTGCAATTGATAGATTATAATATTACAATTTATTTTTAATGTAAAAACAAATATAATCTCAATATTATTGATCACACTAATTTTAATGAAAAGAAAAACATTTCAAAGTCATCATTAATCACACTTAAAATTATTAGCACAAAATCAATAGATTGTAACATTAAAATATGAAGAAAGAAAAGAATCTGGTAAATATGGTGGTGAAATTATGTACACATGTGAATTATTATTATTTTTATGTTATTATTTATTTAGTTTGGCTGGACCTTGTAATGCTTAACCTAGGTAAAGTAACTGATTCAAGTCACAATTAATCAATTACTACATTAAGGGAAGCAACTGTTACCAAAAAATAATTTTTACAAGGATCTATTAGTATTTTAAATGGTAAGATGTTTTAAAGTTTTTAGCTTTTAAAGTTGTTTGTGTGTGTGTTTGTGTGTTGTGTGTGTGTGTGTGTGTGTGTGTGTGTGTGTGTTTTTAATGATGGTGTCAATTGTTAATGTTGTGTATTGTTTGTGTTGTAATCTGTGTATCACTGTGGCTTTAGAGTCCAAGACAAATTTCCTTGTAAAAGGAAGGACATTAAACTACAACCCCAACTCTGAAAAATAATTATTAAATAATATGAAAAGAACTGGTATACCAAATGAAGGGAACAAGGGACTTTTCGGGCAGCTGGCAAATTCAAATATTCAAACATATTTATTTTGTCCCAGACTTTTGTTTGTAATGACTTTATGATTTGTCATTCCAGAGAGACGGCGCTCACGCTCGTCCTCGCGAGATCGTGAGAGGAGGCGCAGGGAGCGCGAGAGGTCCCGGTCCCGCGACAGAGACAGACGAAGGTCACGCTCACGTTCCCCCCACAGACGCAGATCCAGGTGAGCTTGTGGCATCAGACACTCGCTGTTCACAATATGTACACACAGCGGATAAGTGAAGAACATAACAAGCCTGTGAATCTGGTTAGATAAAACGCAGTTGTTTAGTTTTTGAAACCCTCCCTCCAGCTGTGTGCCTATCTTGTTTATGCAGGTCTCCACGGCGACACCGCTCCTCCTCCCTATCTCCATTGCGGCAGAAGGACAGACGGGATGATGACAGGAAGGAAGTTAAGGACAAACCAGCAAAGGTCCATCAGATATCAGGTGGAGATTGTTACTCTGTTAACCCTTTTCGCTCTGCAATAGAGTGCTGTAGCGATGATGGTTTTTGTAGGCCAGACTTGTTACTTGTAACCTTGTTACTGTTGTTTATGACCTTACACTAACTTGTGCTGCTTAGTAGATTGCGTTTGTCAATATGGAAACCATCCGGCTGTGTCTGTGTCTTTAATTTGCGTATTGTCGGTAGATCAGCCGCAGAACTTTCCACTCCCATCTGCGCTTTTATGGGATTGCGCTCTCATGCTAATTTGCCCTGTTTATTAAATCTGGCCCAAAGGCTGTAAAATCAGACTGGTAAGTAGATGAGTTTTTCCTGTTCAGCATGATGATGTTTAATATAAAAGTAAAGGCTTTAAAAAACACACACACTAGGTTACTAATGTAGAGTAAACTGAAAACTTCTTGAGCTTGTGTTAACCACAGACCTTATTTTAGGCATTGAACCAAAACCTTTTCAAAATACACATTGACTTCAGGACGATGGAACCGGAAGTGCAAAAATGCCAACTCATTTCTGGGTTTTGGCCTACAAAAATGTGTCATTCTTGCAGCACTCTATAAAGTCTCATTTCAGATGTGCATTAGCCGTTCTCTGAATCTTAAGATTTTCCCGCTTAGAATCAATCAAAACAGTCAAAGCAAAGTGATACGTACAATTTTGTTAGGAAGGTGAGAAAATCATGTATAGTCAGTGTTCCTGTGTTTACCAGAATTCACTGTATTTACATATTAATAAAGTCAAAGTATGGTATTATTCACAAAATGTTTTTTTTCCTCAGGTCAGCTACATGTTCATAGTCTTATTGTGCATGGTTCATCAGTTTATGTTATTCCAAAGAAAAAAATAAACGGTCATAATTGTTAATTAAAATATATATATATATATATATATATATGAATGGTAGACTACGTCAACATGCTCTCAAGGTTGATCTTGACCTTCAGTCTACACGTCTCAGTCAAAAGTCCTCCTCAAAAGTGTCAAACTACAGAAGTAAAATGGGATGTGAATGCTTTTCATTCTGATATCACGGTGCTGAGAACAGACCCTGAATGTACCCATGTCTGACACTTTGATGTGCTTTCTCATCTGATTGCTCATGCAGCTGAGGACATGCAAGGAAAGACTGAGGAGGAAATAGAGATGATGAAACTGATGGGCTTTGGAGCCTTTGACAGCACAAAGGTGAGATCCCTTTCTTTACTGCTAAACGGTTCATTCTACAAGAACAACCAAACGAGAAGTAGATGTACTTTGTAGTTTGTTTACAATAATATGTATAGCATTTACATTTTTTTTTTTAAACTTGACAAATAATAGCAGTTTCAAGTGGCAAAGCTGATCCTCTAAATAACCACAAGATGGCACAGCTAGACAGTGTGTATGCTAAAGATATTCCTGTTAAAAATCAATTAAAATAAAAGTTGAAGGTAAAATCTTAATTGTGTGCTATAAAATTCTTCCCTATTTATTTTCTTCATGCACAGTAATGTTTACATAATTTGAGCATAATGCATGGTGTACGATTGTTGTCATTTTTATTCAACAGGGCAAGAAGAAGGAGGGATCCAATGCTGCGTTTGCATTTAACGTGTCGCAAAAGAGAAAATACAGGTCTGTGTATTTACCATATTTTTTTTTTTCTGAAATTAATACTGCCCAACTCCAAGATCCTCAACTTGATATTAGTTCTGTGATTTGTAATTCCTGGCTTTATTTTATAAATGAATCCTTTTTTTATATGTACAAACGGCAAGTGTTATGAGAAAAGTTAATATCCCAGCAACAGTTACGTATTTGGCCAATCACCCCTGCAGGTACTGCACAGCTAAATGACGAAGGTTCTCATTGGTGGGCAGTGATGTAATGTTTTGGTGCAGGAAGGAGATCAATGATGTAATCATATTTCTCTTGCAGGCAATACATGAACAGGAAAGGTGGTTTCAACAGACCTTTGGATTTTATTGCCTGATGGAGTCGTCAGTAACCACGTTTTAACGACTTTGATGTCTTTGTGATTAAATGTATATTCTCTTTTCTTCCCCGGGTTTATGTAAATCTGTGTTTCAGCAGTTTTTCCATCTGTTTTGTTTTTCAGTTAATGGCTGTAATGTAAGCGTCAGTTTAGTTTGTAGGAGCAAATATTAAAAGGATTTGATGTTGCGAATTGATTGCCTTGTATACCTTATTTAGCAGTACTGAATAAATGGGAACTCATTATGAATATTTTTGTCTGTCCAGTGTTATTGTGCAATTTTAATATCATTTGTTTTTGAAAAATGACAACTCTATCATATATTTTTAATGGTGCTTAATTTGTTTAAAAACATCAAGAGAAAGAAATGAATACAAGTAAAGAGAATTAGAAAATAATTCCACTGGTATCTGTTTAAAACGTACAAATCATGTTAAGTCATTTTAACCATCAGCATATACAAGGGAGGTGTGTCTGTTGAGTTCCGGAACCTTTTAAAGGCGCCCAATCACAGGCGACAGTGCTGCGGCAGAACAGCCAATCATAGCATAACAACAACACACGATTTGCATAATGAGCCATTTTGGCTCAGGAGCAAATGCCAGAATACAACGGCACAGGTTCTACCCTCGCTCCAAAATGGCGCTACGGCGCTGCTTAGTTGCACCATTATCTTGCGGAATCGCATTACAGCAGTCATATATTCACGCTTTAGAATGCAGCTCAGCCATTGGTCCGTTCTAGATGCGCTCTGGTAGATTGACAGCAAACGCATCCAATGAGAAGCCCGCTTCCTGTATCGTCCATCCAATAGAATCGCAGGTTCTCCCGAGCCTCTGAGAGGCGTACAGTAACATGACAGCAGCTAGCAAACATCTCATCTGCCTGGCTCAACGACGTTATGGTTTCGCTAGCTGCGTGTTTTTTGTCCTATTTTTGATTCAGTTTCCTCAGTTGCACACAGCCACAGCTTAGCATGTGCAGCTCGAGCTGTTTAATAAGTAGCCAGATCGTTTGTCACGCTTGAAATATCGAAACCAGCGATTGTTTGGACTTTGGGAGGCCGTGTATTCTATTTTAAAGCCTATTTTGAACGCATTTTTTCAACGACCAATCAAGATTTTTCCTTTTTTTATTACACAACACAATATTGTCTACCACCTCGCTGGACAGGCATATCAAAATTGACGCTTTTTTTAATTAAACAAGAAGGAAGAAGGTTGAATGCTGTTTTGTTTTCCAGCCAGCAACCAACACAGCAGCACCAAAGCTCTAAATTATTAGCAAAAATAATATCAACAGCTGCTTAAATATACTTTTTTTTTTTTTGACAAGCTTTACAATCTGGCAACCTGTACCCTCATCAGATCGATCTGACTGAGCTGTCAATCCAGTATTTTTGCCTGTTTTTTTTCCAGACTCGACGGTGGTCTCTAGTTAACAGCGTTTGCTGTCAGTATCAGAGCCTAAAATTGACCAAGTGCAGAACTAAAGCTGTAAGCTCTTATCTGTTTGACAGCTCATCTATAAAAGTCTTTAGACCTTCCTGAGTGTCACCACTTACATGCTTTCAGGAAGAGTTGCCAGATTTTGCAAACCTGGAAGGGTTTTTGTTGTTCGTGTCCTGTTGTCCTCCCAGTTTTAACATTTGATGTCCAATATCTCGTTTAATATGAACAGGACTAGTTAATTAAGTTGTTTTTGGCAGCTGAGGGACATTTTTATTCGGTTTTTATCATCCAGCTATTTTGGAAACCAGCGTGTTTATTTGTTATATTTTTTTACTCCCCATTTTTGAGAGCCCCTACTGCCATTTTTTGTACAAATTTCTGGTTTTCTGAAATATCAACAAACCCCATATCTAAACATTTCCCTCGCTGTCTTATACAAGCAAAAAAAATAGTAAATTCGCCTGACTGGATTTTTCTTAGTCGAGACGCTGGAGGAGGAAGAAGCGTGATTGAACGAAAGGCTACTGCTTGTTTTTTTTCCTCGTTTATTTCTGACCCGCATTGTCGTTTTTATCGGTGTTTATTGCCTAAAATGACGGCTATTGAGAAACTGCAGATGTTGATCGAAGCAGCTGAATATCTTGATCGAAGAGAAAGAGGTAAAGTGACGTATTACGAGATACATATTTGTAGTCAATATAAAATTGTATTCTGGCATGCAAATTAATCCTGACACTGTTGCTAGGGTGCTTGTCTGCTGAAAAGCAAAAAATGGGTTATTCGACCTATTTATTAGAGGTGAATGCATGATATGCAGACGGGGTTTTTCCCCCCACGTTGTTATGACATTTGGGGAAGATCAAGACATGGAGAACAGGAGAAGTGGCCACTTCAGATGTCTGAGACTGCGTGCTGGCTAGTCACCATACACTTGTCTTTTACAGGGGACAGTAATGTGTTGTTAACGCTCTCTAGGGATAAAACCCAAGCGTTTATAGCATATATATATTTTTAATGATTTTTTATTACGTTTGTGTGCAAATGTGGAACTGAAATGCATTTTTCAAGCACTGCTGTTGGTATACAGTGGAGGGTTTTCTGGTGCATCTCCCCTCCCATCTATCTGTTGTGGTTCGGCTGGCTATTGGGTTTACTCCAGTTCAGATGACATCATTGACCCAAAAGCAAGATATTTGGCAAGAAATTGGTTCATTTTAACGTAGAGCATAACTGCCTTTCTCCCAGGTTCTAAAAAATGGTCAATATTTGTGATCAATGGCTTTGATTTTCAGGTAGCCAATGTGCTTTGTGGTCTAATGAGCTTCTAAATGTCTCTGTTTGAATTTGCAGAAGCGGAGCATGGCTATGCCTCCATGTTACCCTTCACCAGCAACAAAGAGAGGGATGGCTTGAAACGAAAAATCAAAAACAAGAAAAATTTCAGCAGCAGGTACTTTCACCAGGTTTCTACGATAACGAAAACTCTTTTGAAGAAATGTTTAGCCTAGTCAATCCTGAATCCATTTTAGAGTTTTATCCGAAGCAAATTTTAAATTTTTTAGTATTTTAATTGTTTCTCACCATGAAAACACCAACTAACCAATCTATGATGGCTTGAAACGAAAAACCAAAAGCAAGAACGATTTCAGCAGCAGGTACTTCCACCTAGTTTGTAAGGAAACACATTCAAATCATTTTTTGAAGAAATGCTCTTTTATAGTATTTGAACTTGTTACTCATCTTGAAAACACCAACCAACTAAGGAATCTACAATGGCTTGAAACGAAAAATCAAAAACAAGAAAAATTGCAGCAGAAGGTAATTTCACTAGGTTTCTATGATAATGAAAACTCATTTGAAGAAATCTTTAGCCTAGTCAATCCTGAATCCATTTTAAAGTATTTTTCCAAAGCAAATTTCAAAAATAGGCACTTTTATAGTATTTTAACTTGTTACTCACCACAAAAACGCCAACCAATCTATGATGGCTTGAAATGAAAAACCAAGACCAATAACAATTTCAGCAGCAGGTACTTCCATCTACTTGTACGGAAATACGTTCAAATACATTTTTGAAGAAATTGCTTTTTTATAGTATTTTAACTTGTTACTTGACATGAAAACACCAACCAACCAACGAATCTACAATGACTTGAAACTAAAAAAATTATTAAGCAAGAAAATTTTAGCAACAGGTACTGCCACGTACACTGTAAAAAAATTAATTAATTTTTTTTTTTAATTCGGTTACATTTATGGTAAAATACCGGCAGCTGTGGTTGCCAGAACTTCATAAAAAATAAGGTAGCAACATTTTAGGTTTTACAGACTTAACTTAAATTCATAATAAAAAAATTATTTCATTAACTGATGTAATGTTAATATACCAACCTAGTGAAGTACTAATATCTGCTTTGAACCATTGTAATACACTGATAACCAGCATTAACAGATGGTAATGATAAAGTCACATGATGATTCAAAGCTCATCACAAACAGCTTTTCCACAAGCTGGAGAGGAAAATATTAATATATAGAAGGTGCACACAGTGTCATTCACAAAACACTAAACCCCATCATGGTGACACACATGATACTGAAATAATACAATTAATTTAATAACATTAGATGTAAGATACAATTCTAATGTACACAACTGAGAAGAAAAAAAAACTAATAAGAAACCGTTATTTCAATGAAAAAACATCAAATGTGAAGTGTCATGCAGGGAATTCTGTTGTTTCACTGTAAATTATACAATGACTCTTTCTTTTTCATTATTTATTTTACTGTAAAATTACATTAAATGTAATTACAGTTATTCACCGTATATAGTATGGAAACTTACTGTTAACCAGTCGGTGACTGCAGTAGCATCATGACAGATCTATTAGTGTGCACTCTGTGTATTGTGTGATTGGTCCATATGTTTTTCTACCCTCCGAATCCCAATACGCCCTCTAACCAGGAACATCATCCGTGATTCACACATCACTTCAAAGAGACCGTGTGTCCCGTGAGTTATTTCTGAGATATATAGCAGACCTGTGCATATCTGCACCATGTGTGTACGTGACACAAACACACCCACCGATTCATCCCCGTGCAGATGCAGTCAGGACACGCCATCCCACATTCAACATGGAGAGAGACGTACACTCACACGCTGCTCGCTTCTTTCCCTGTGACTCTCACCACCCACGTTCCACAGTCACAATTTACTCACTCACTACTCAACACCTCAGCTTTCATAAGCATCAGCCGATTAGTACGCCTGGAACTGTCCGTCGCCTGTCAGTGGATTAAATCGGTTGCCTTACTTTTTTTCAAAGTAGAGCTGATTGTTATTATTATGTTTATTGTAAATTGCTTGTGTACCACCTATTATTAGGCAATGCTGTTTTTCATGTTAAAAGGTAGTGAAACCATTCAAACTCATGATTGTTAGTTTATCAAATTGTTATGGAGGAGTCATCAAAAGACAGACCAACAGACATGGTCACAATTCATGTTTTGAAGTCTTTTTTCTAAATGCATATTATAGATATTATTTTGAACACCTCATCCATGCACGTTTCATTAAAAAAATTGACCTCATTATGTTTAATCACAACACTATACAGGACTTCTCCAATTATTTAGTCTACTTAAACCCAAAGCACACGTTCATCTGCTTTTTGATAATCCGTTACACTCAGATTTACGTCACAATACCAAAGAAAAGATCTGTCGCTACTTCAGTTTCATTGCGACTTTAAGGAGATCATCATAATCATTCTCTATTCTAGATTATGATGTGAGTTGTGTATCTTAAACTCCATGTTCTAGAAAATGTTCTATTACACCATGTCCTAACCAGGCACAACTCGATAAGGTGAAAAGCGATAAATCTCTTTCATGTGAATTTGTGTTTTTGTTCTAACCAGCTGCAACCATAGCAAGCACTTATGTTTGGTTGCACAGTTTTGATAGAGTGCAACAGTGCTTGTCCACTTTTGCAGCGGCCTTGGTTCTGGAAGTATTTTTCTCATTCATTTTTCCCATAGGGATTTTAAACAAGTCTTTGTTAAAGATTTATAAGCCATGAACAAAACCAACTAGCTATGAGGTGAATCACAACATTACAAATCATTTGAACAACAATACTTTTATTTGAAGCCAAAGAGCATTTAAAAACTGGACAAAAGACAAAGGTACAAGACTGTGTACTTACCAACTTCAATGAGGGAAAGAACTACTGTCCAATGAATTTCTGTTTCAACTTATTTCTTTATTCAAAAAATAAGTTGAAATAATGCAGTTTTATGATTTCAACAAAAGCATATACCATTTATTAACAACCTCATAGCTCACAGTAGGTCTGGTTTTAAAGGATTATAAGTTATTGTTCAAAATCAATTCCCCTGTAAAATGAATGGGATTTTTTGTTTACTGCCGGAACCAGACTCTATTTCTGTGGTGTTGCTTTCATTAGTCCCGTCCACAGTAAAATTTCATTGATCCATAATAATGTTGCACATAAGTGAATATTAACCATCAAATATGATCTGATTGGCTAATGACGTGCCTGTTTAGAATATGGTGTTACTCTGAATCTGACCGGTCTGATAAAGGTAAGGAGGGATTTTGAGACAGATAGTTTATTCTTGCACAAAGGGGAGATCTTTTAGCTGTAGCTGACGTTGCTGTCATACTCTGCATATGATACTGATTCATAGCCATTTGGCCCCTCTTAAACAGGTCAGCATAGGGTCATAAAAGCTGCTGCTTCTGAATCATGGAGATGAACCATTTTGGGAATATGAACTTGGATAAACATCTAGTTATTGTGTGACCCAGCATGCTGAAAAAGTCCCCAACGCTAATCTGTGTCTGGATGTTTGTGTGGCTTGTAACTGGATATTAAGGCCTAACAAGGGTAGCACTGGGTTTGTAGCTATTTATATACAGCCTTATGGTGTGTTCAGTGGAAGTTGTTGTTTAAATGTTGGTTTAGTTGATAAAGAAATTGTGGGAGGTGTCTTTTTAATGTAACAGGTCTCTAGACACGCAATTACAGAGTGATCGTCCAACATGTGTTGCCATCAACTCCTGTTATAAGGGGTCATATTGCGTCTACTAGCTGAATCTTTGTTTACTATACAATAGGGCTGTGCGATTAATCGAAATCGTCATAAAATCGCGATTTGCGCTTGCGCGATTTCTAAATCGCTTTATAGCACGATTTTCCGCGCCCCCGACCTCCCGCAGTATGCTATCCGAACCAATCAGAATGCAGCGCGCCTAAATGGAGCACGAAAACAGAACAGACCGGGCGGGCATATACAAACGTAACGCCAGGTTCACACACTCCGTCTGTGGTGCGTATTTTGTCCGCGCCCATGTTAACGGATCAGAGCGTTCACACTGCACGCGATTGCGGTCCGGCAGTGCGCTGCAGGAGCGGTGCGCCTGCAGCAATCGTGCTGCGATCGTTTCCGCACGGAGTCTATTTCTGCTGTGCTGCATGCGCTGAATTAAAGTGACAGCGCCTTACTTGCGGTAAAAATTAACATGGATTGACACGCGATTGTCGATAAATTTAGTAATTACACCATAAATGCATATAATTAAAGTCTACTGTTTCACAGTCAACACATGGCTTTTTGACTAGATTTAAAACAAGGATAAGTGCACTTTTAGATAAACAGGGCAACGCCACAAAGAGCTCTATGACCAATGCATGGCAAAAACAATCCCTGGACACAGGATTTATTTTTTTCCTGCCATATGTCTATTCTAGAGACGTTTTGTTACACCTTTACTTAGTGATTATTTTGCCTTATGTCTGTTCTAGAGACATGTTACAGCTTCTTGATAAAGCTCTAATTGGTTTTCTTTTGGAAATATGTTTCAAATTCACACTGAATGCATTTATGACTGTAAAGCATGTCTGTGTGTGTCAAAATCGTGATTAAAATCAAAATCGCAAAATTGATCAAAGAAATCGCGATAGGTTTTTTTTGTCCATATCACACAGCCCTACTATACAAGGTCCTAGAATATTGCTTAGACAAAAAGACAGTAAGGTTACTAACGTGGTCCAAAATTAACATTAGCCAGCCGTCAAATACTAGTAAAATTGTTTTTCTGTAAAACGATACAGTAAAGAACTTTCCCAGTGAAAATACAGTAAAAACTGTAATATTGTAAAATAGTATTGCAATTCAAAATAACTAGGGGTGCAACGGATCTTAAGCCCAAGAAACACTGCACAATTTTCATCTGTCCCAGACGAAAGATTGGCATCGTGAAACAATCATAGTGATTTCTGTAATCGTGGCTCCTAATTGGTGGTCTTATGTCGTACAGTGAGAAAGCTTCAAAGACGGCCGTTGTCACGGTCTTGCGACCAAAGATAGCCTACGATCATTTTCGGACAGTGTAAGAAATTCAGCATGATCATCGCACAATGCGTTTGCTGCTATGACCCACGTTTACTGACCAGCCAATAAAAACGTGACATGAAATCAACGCGACACAGCGCTAAAACATAAAACTGTGTAACTCAAGCTCTTATCCCTTCATCTTTGGCCGCTTGCGCTTTTTTCAACACGCATAAAAACTACAACTGCCAAAGTGTGATTCATCATGCTCTTTTTGTTTACCACTAGCA